TAGAGGGTTGCCTAACTAGTAGCGCCACCGCGCCGCAGCCAACGCGGAGATCGCCGCTGCTGCTGCGGCCGATGCCGCCGCCGGCGCAACACCGCAACCTTGAATCGAGCGTTGCCCCGAGAGAGAACGGAGACGAGTTAGACGACTAAACGAGACCAACGAGACGAGAACTACTGGATAGTTGAGAACCAGCAGCCACTGCCCGACAACTGCTGAGTATCGACGACAGCCCATAGCGACACCGCACAGCGACGCCCGTAAACGTCATCACACCGGCTTTTGTGTCTCATTAGAAGTTATGCTAAATTAGACAGTGCATATTAGAGCTGAATAGCAGCGCCAACAGCAGTTTCAGCAACAATCTGCGACGGTCGTTGTCGTTACGAAAACGAAGCAAAGCGAAAGGCGATGTTGATCACGACGCTGGATCGCGGCCGGCGGGGACCGAGGTCTTGGCGCGGCAGTGGCATTTTCGATGTATTGATCATTGTGGTTCGCGCATTGATTCGGAGATAAGTGCCAGTTGGTATAGAGTTCTCGTCCTAATCGACCGGCTATTGACGACACCACACCTGTTCTTCTTGCTGTTTTCCTGTTGTTATTGTTAGAAAAATTCGGTCTGCTAAGGCGACGCTGGTGATAGCAAGCGAACTACGAAGGCGCCGACCTTACCAACATGACAGGACTTACTAGGTTGCAAGCACCAAATGTCAAACATCACATTGAACACCGACAATTTGCCGCCTATTCCGAGCATACCACACTGTATTGAAGTCCCTCACAGTTGTCGGGGCGACCCCCGACTAACTAATCCCGCTGTTGCTGAATGTTGGCCGAATGCAGACGCCTACAGATTCCTAGCAAAATTCCCTGGAAATGTATTGTCTAGATGTGACTTTGCCATATCGAGGCAAATCAGCTCCCTACAGCGGCGAAGTTGTCACTACTGTGTGGCTGGTTTGTCGAGTTCTTCATTTATCGAAAAGTAACGACCTCTTAGAACCATCGGCTAACGAGACTGGTTCATTTGCAGGATTTAAGCATACTAACCGGCCGCCATACGACCGCACACGCTATGCCGACTCTTGTATAAAGTGTACATATAACATACTGGCGGCTGTAGATTTTTTCGTGTCAGTCTAAACAAGACTGGTAACGACAGCAGTAGCTTCAGCCGCAAACCCGCTTCGTCGTTAATTGATCCAGCCCAGCTTACAAACAACCTAAAACTGAACGCTACAAATTTAGTCAACAATATGTAATTCTCAGTGGTGCTAATACGTCGACATACATTCTGCGGCAGAGTACATTTATCCATATGTAGCTCGGTATTACGATTGCACCCAGGAAGGCTTTCTAGAAATAGCGCGTGTCTGGAAATTGCATAGTGACCGTCACCGGTCCACAAGTTCGATTGCAAGTTTCTCTCTTTCTCGTTTTATACATGTATATATATATATATATATAATTTTTTTAACATCTTCTATCTGAGTGCGTGTGTGTCATGGAATTGTTACCGATGTAGATACTCATTTTCTCCCAGATAGCGTGACGCCGTTCCGCAGCGATACTTGATGTTGTTATTACTATAAATCTGCTCGACAAAACAGGCTTATAATCATCTGTCATGTGTAGACAGCCGGGCTGTCTCAGCCGTCCATTTTTTTAACTCTTCCTTCTGTCGTGAACTCGCTAGAAACTGGAGCTGCCTGCCTCCGCGCATTTTCGGCCTCTAGAACAGTCTCAGAGTTACCAGTGGCTACTAGAATATGCCAGTCTTCTTGTTGCTATAGGGCCTTTGGCAAGTACCGAGGTCCGCGGCTGGTCCCGTCACTAGCAGGCGTATGCGATCTGCCGTTAGGACTTGCTCGCGCATTGGCTTTTTGCTATGATAGGAAGAAATGGAAACATCAGAATCCGCATCAGAACAGCAGTACACAGGACGACTTGTCAGCCTGTCGTCTGAACTTTGTCCCTGAGCGGCGTGTCGTCTGCAAAACACCATAGCCGTGTGGTCGTCGTGGACTCCGGCTCGTATCCCCCCTCCACCGCTTTTCACGCGCAGCTGGCATTGTGCGGGCGTACCGATGGTGTAATTATAGTGAATCTTTCATCCCCTTTCGCAGTTGCAGTTGTCTACGTGAATGCGTTGCTGCCGGCATCGCTACATAAGCCGGTGAACTGTAGCCGGTAGGCAACAGCTGGCCTCAGCAACCACAGTAGTTGGCCGTGTACGACTTGAACGAACTCGACCACGACCGCCAAAAGAGTCCCTCGAATTGAAATACAGATGCCTTCCGTCCAAATGCATCCACGTGTGTCAGTTGCAAATACGTGTGTGCGCAGCCTGCAGGCATATATTCGTATGTACGGCTTGCCAAAATCGGTCCGCTATTTTCACCATACCCCCAGCGCTTTGATGTGTGCTAATTTTTCTTCCCTGTCAAATTTGCCCCCATTAATCAATGCGCATTTCAGCCCCTAAAAAGTTTGCGATCTGCAAATGACTACGTCATTTATTGCACTTATCCACGGACTATATACCCCAATTGCAAGCGAACACGTCCGCCAATTTGCTACAAGCGTTCGTTTCGCTTCCAATCGCAGATTGGCTATCGTACTCAGCGATTCTGTGAGGCGCATCCATTGGCCGGCCCCACCTAAGCCCGATAGCAGCCTCCGATCACGTCGAATGGAAGGCAACACCGACCCATTCGCCCTCACCTTTTCACAGTAGACGCACACACAGCGACGCACGCAAGGGGCAAACTGTAAGAACAACCGGGCGCTTATGGGTATCGCCACCACCACAGCCGCCGCCGCCGCCACCACCTTGACAGCTCCCTGGCAACTGTGTGACGAGTGCGGCAGGTCTGGTCACAGCAGCGTCGAATTCAGCAAACGAGCGCAACTGACTGCTACCTACCACGTAACGATTTCCGCTAACAAAGAACAACATCGCGTGTATCTGTTTCTTTAGTATCTCTCTGCCAATAGCTAGAGTCGCACGTACCCTGTTATGGAGAGTATTATGACAAATCGAAAGCTTTGCTATATAGACGCAATTCGTGTGGGTATTGTCATAAGCAGCAGTACGGAACTAAAGCTCCCTGCTACGAGTAAAAAGCGTGTAAACTGAGAGCGTAAACCTCCACGAACGGACGACGTACGATACGATATTACTGCCAACAAAAAAGTCCTACCGCATTAGTCATTCTCTAAGCTATAACCTAATATTCTGCTGCAGCATGTTATGCCGCACGGCTTCGTTAACATCTGCAAAGCGAAAAACCTACCAGCGAATAAAAGTTCTTTGAATTTTTACCATCCAACCTCTTGCTGAAGGCGTTTAATACAATATACAAACAGTGAGAAATAGACGCAGTGCAACTTAGAGCACAACCAGCTATTCCTAACAATAAATCGTCCAGCAAATCGACTCGTCCCCACTGCGGCCCGTCTCTGCGCAGGTGCGAACGTCTACATCAACAAGATCTGGAACGCGCAACAAGAACGACAGGCTAATACAAATAGATGTAGGGCTAAACGCCACTTTCAGAAGCCGGGAAGATCCAGTTGATATAAACAACAGGAATATGGCATCAGCTCTCGGTGACGGCAGTGGCAGAAAAAGAACAGCAAAAGCAACAGTATACAGTAATGGCAAGGGTAAAAGTAAAGGGATAAGCGGGCTAGTACGACGCTAGTCGCTTTGCTGACTAGCTTGCCTTACGCTGACGTTGGCTCTATCTCCGTACAGCGGTAGTATGCGACGACGATAATGGCTCTCCGCTGCGCGACGCCATTACAATTACTAGCACGCGTTCGTCGGGAGGCAAACGCATTGCATCGAATCGCGGTGGTGACGACCATCCAGCCGACGCAAGTGGCCTTGGCGGCCAACGGGGTAGAGGCGCAACGAGATTGTCGCGGCCGTTGCGACGAAAACAGCAGCAGATGCGGTACCGTCAACGACAGAGGCTGGGGCAAAACAGCATTGACATCATACAGCATTAGCAGCAACAGAAGTAGTAGTAGTAGTAGTAGTAGTAGGAGCTACTATGCTAGCAGGGACGATAGTGACAACAGAATCAGCGACAGTCAATCAGTCAGTGGCCATCATGGCCACGTAGCATCAAGTCAGCGATACCGCACACAACGTTGATAGTGCCAGTTGAGCCGTTACTGGCCGAGTTGCAGATGGCGGCTTGCATCCGCAGCCCAAGAAAGTATTGCGAACGAGTGAGCTCAGGTGTCGACGCCGTACCACGTTCTGGACGTACGGACGGGACAAATTAAGTTCCCCATTAACCAATTCGTAGGGAATACCTCGCTGCAGCGCCCCTCTAGATAATTGTGGGTTAGTAGCGCGAGAAGTCGAGAGGTGGACGTGAATGAAATCTTCCCGTTGGCATACAACCTCGCTGGAAAACTCTCCCGCGAGTTTGCTATATAGGATAGGAAAGTCTTACCCGTGACCTGCTATGACCAATATCGTAATATTGGACCGGAGTTCCACTCTATGGATATAGACTACTAACGAATACCTGCGACATTTATGTGACTAAAACAATATAGAGTGAGAAATTCAAAGCTGTGTCAAGGCACAGTCCCGCTGCTGGTAGCACACATGTGTTACAGGAAGTGAGCAGTTTCCAAGAACAGAAGAGAGTTAAACCTTCATCAAAAGAACCTTCTCAGTGTGTAAGGTTTGACAAGACGCAGCTGAATGACGCTACCCCGCGCTTTGTACTAGGCCTCTTGCGCAGGCCCTCGCAAGTTGCGAAGCAACATGCAACTCATCATTATATAGATTGTACATAAGGCGGAAACAAAGTAAATACGAGCCGTGCATAATTTTTTTGACAACCCAACGTTGATTGATTGGTTAGTTAGTAGCCCATCAAGTAACAGCAGCAGCAGCAGCAGCAACAGGCAAGTTCAGGGACGTTCAGTTTTGCACTGTCGTACGATTGTCGAATTGCCATGAACCCAGTGTGCGCCATCGTCATCAGCTTATTCTGTGACGACACGCAGATTGTTCTGGGTCTCGCGCTGATAGCCGTTTGAGCGTTTCTCCTCGTAACAACGATGTGACGCTCGAGTTAATGTCAAAACCAGCATATGGGAGGAGGGCAGCGGCGATTCACACACTAAAATACTAGTTACAGAAATAACACGCTCACGAGCGTTACCGTTGCCGACGAGTTCTACGGAGCAGAACTGACCGACCGACCGACCGACCGACCGACTGACCGACATCCGTTGCACAACGGTGATATCAAAGCAGAGATGTGTAACAGCGCTCGTGACTCGCTGTGCGTGGGGCAAATCAATTCCGCCGAATTTTTCTCTGGTCGTAAGCTGCGGAAAAATATCTTCATGATATGGTGCCTGATACTACTCACTGTGTACTGCTTGTTTACTGTGCCTCGTGTGTTGACTTCCAAAAGACCCTTGTTGTTTGCCAGTTTGCCCCGGATACGTTATCTTCCCGAAGTTCTTATACACGTGGCCAACCGGTTTGGTCTGAGCATATTGCTGGTGTAGTGACCACACAATGGCGAAGAATGCTAGGGGCTGATGCCTGCACAATTTTTCAAAAATTTTGTAATACTCAGCCACAACACCGTTGCCAATGTGAGTATTCTTATCTCGGCCAGCAGTCGTTGAGTTGCGTTTTCTGTTTAAGCACATATATGTTAATGATTGCATATGCTGCCCAACCCTCGGTAGCGGCGGGTAGCTTGTGTTAGGTTTGCCCTCTAGCCATCGGCGGAGCTGCCGTCTTGATGATGATGATGACGATGATGATGATGATGGGAGGGCAAAACAAAGATCTAGAAAATTCTCAAAAGCAAAATTAACTCTGCTGCGAAGTTTTTTGATCGGTAACTTCTATTTGGCTGCTAACGCCTCCGGTCACTGACGATTGCGTCAAAAACAGTATTCCTTGATGGAAATGCGTTGAGGCGCTACGTATACACGACACGCCGAGCATGTACACCTAGCTGGCTTAGACAGTCTAAAAACAGAAAAATGCCAACACTGTTTCAGTACTCATATTGTACTGCAACGTAGTCCAGCCATCTCCACTGCATGAGATACCGGGCTACCAACATTTTTGACGTAGCTCGACACTGACAGCTGCTTAGGCCTATTCATATGAATGACGCAATAGCGTCCATTTTACTTGTTGTCCACGGCTTAACCGTCGAGTCAGGAGACAGTCAGTCAATTCACTCATTTCCTACTCTTCTCCTTACAGATCGTCACTACGCGAACTTAATTATTACATTTACAGTGAATAGCCAATTGTATGGATAGTTTTGTACGCCTCATAAATATGTCCGTTTCGTACAGTTCATCCGTACGGATCATGAAAGCAGTAGGATGAGACGTCCATAATACAACTGCACGCCAAGGCTGGTGCGGGACAAATCAGAGAGAAAAATAGTGTGGCAGAAATTAAAGAGAAGATATTCGCACCCGCAAGTTAAGTAAACCAGTTAATGTTTCTGCGTTCATCAATAACGCAGCGCGCGGAATATGAGTACCGGTCCAACTCCAGGGTCGTGTCACCCAGACCAGAGTACGATAGCAAACTGTCAAGTTAGGAAAAGTGCTACGGAACATGCCCGCTAGCTAGTTTTTTAGAAAACTGACGCTCGTCAGCGATGGAGAGACGTACGTTAAGCGAAGCCATTGACTGATCACAGACAGACTGCCACGCTTTGATCGGCCGGTGGTAATCACGCGCTAGAGAACGCTACGAACGTTTACACGAAGACTGCCCCATTGCCACTGCATCGAGCCGTGTAAATAGACAGATGTTTGGCCACGTACATGCGCCTCAACCAGAGATGTATGTATAGGCTATCGTCAAAAATAAGTCGAGCTGTTGGCTTAGAACGAGTCAAACGCTGAGAGCTTTGTGAGTGGGTGATCGAGTAGCTTCAACGCATTATGATGGGCATGTACGTGTTGTTAACGGAACGCGGCTACCCGTACCTATTCGCTAAGCTGCAGGACTCTGTCGCGTTGCGCCATTTTGAGCCGCGGTGATGTGAATCGAGAGAGCTTGGTTTCGAAGCATTTAAAAAGTATCAATATTGTAATGACTCGTTCGAGCAGCTAACAGGCTGTAAAGTACATTGGATTTCGATGCGTATTTCTGAGGCGTCTTGCAGACGGGCTCGTATATTATTACCTCACCACGAGCAGTTATTAGTGCGTATGTGATGTCCGACGATTGGTGTTGAGTTATAATACGCCGTACGCCGTACGCCGTACTACAGTGAGTTTGCACTTAAAGGCTCTAGAAAGAAACTATGTAGACAAATTCGATTAAATATAACCTATTTAGCTAATCAATATCTGGCACGCCCAACCCATTCCGCGACATGTTCTCTTTTCAGCCTTATCTTCAAGCAGCTAGATAGCTTTCTCCATGCAGATTCTCGTGTTGCAATGAAGCTTCACCAGGAATAAAGCAACGACTACATATATCTAAGTTCATAACTAATACGTAATATATATATATATATATATATATATAAAGTTCATTACTAATCAACAGACATATGTTAATTTTGCTACCTACGCAAGTATCGAGCTGAGCTGATTAATAGTTGAGGATCAAGTTGACGACCTTTCAACGACGACATGGAATGCAGCTACCTTAACGAGGCCATATAAAAAAAAGTGGCTTTACTACTCTGCACCACGCCAAAATACTCATCTATGCCCCGAAATGTTTGAATTTCCCTAATTTTCCGATGGTTGTGGCCTTCTCGATATCGAAGTCGTCTACTAATCAGGACTACCTTGTTCCGAGGCTACTCTATATATCAACAGCACCGCCTGGGAAAATCAAGACGATTCCATCGATCGGGAATATCGTGCACCGATTCAAACTAATCGGTCACGTCACTTGCGCACGCCGACAGTGTCACGAAGTTGGTTAGCGAGGTAATCTTCAGCATACGCTTCTACTGCTTATATGTCGTCACCATCCATTGCGCGTAGTCACAATAGCTGATAAATAAAAGTTGCGTGGAAAATCTGTTTGGCACTAGAGTCGAGACGGAATTTTCAGCTCAGTGGCAATTATATTTATTGGCAGATGGCTTTGGGCTCATTAAAAAGGATCTTACTAAAACAATATGTGAATTACATCTTTTGTAGATTCGACAGACATTGTTCATAGCTCAGTCCATCAGTTCTCAGACGGAGTATTTGTGATAACAACAAACCATTAGCAACAACACCTAAAACCAGCGAAATTTTCAAACGATGATATAGCGCCAAGTATAAGCAATATTAGTAATTTAGCCTCCAGATAATAAGGAGAGCTAGTTCTGAGACGAGAAAATGTGACCGCCATCAAACATACATTTTGAGGCACCGATGTAGCTTTAATACGATCTTTAATACGACAGACGCTCTATAGACAATTCTCTTTTTGACATTTCTTCGACTTTTCTTTCTAGCACATCAACGCAACAAATCATACTTCACACGCAATAAATCGACGACCAATTGTCCTGTTGGACCGAGTTCTGATTGACTCTTGAAGACAGCTGGCCAGCAGCCGAGGTGATACAGAAACAACGAGCGCTTCACATGCTATGAAATCCGGTAAGTAGTTTTAAATTTACGCCCCTACACTTTACTGTGCAGACTCAGCCTATAGTTTGCTTTTCCAGGACAAACCCCCTTTCAGTCCGTCAGTATTACAACACAGTGCTTTGCTAAACCAACAAAACCACAGATACATATATGCAGTATTTTATTAAACGGATAACTGCAACATAACTGTACCAGTCGTGGATCCAGATACCGCTTGCGGGGGAGAAGGGTCAACATTCTTTTTACGCAAAACGTCCCCTTGTTTTCACGATCATCTCCGCGCGGTCATAGGCACTCAAAAAATCCGCGGTGGCATTGGCCTGTTTTGGCCTAGCCGGCATCCGGTGTCAGCCGAACGGGGCTGTTTGTGCTGTCGCAGAAACTCCACTTGCAGCACCGAGGGAGTGGGCTTAAGTCAAGGTCAACTATACTTCTGCGTCGCTAAGGGGAGGAGATCTCCATAGGGCGGACAGCCGGCAACGACGGCAGCAGCTTTGACGGCGACAGTAGTATCGACCGTAGCCATTATGCCTTTGCTCTCTGCTGCTACTGGTCGGAACGAGGAACACAACCCTCGGACTAACAAACTGACAAACGGTCGAATGAACGAACGAAGCCGACTCGATGACGTCATCTGATTCCTTCTCTCCTCCTCACCCCCGACACCCCCGGGGGAGAGAGAAAGTCTAGAAGCGCCGAGAAGCAAATCTCGGTGTGAGGTATATGATAGGTTGTCAGCGGATAGGCACTGGAATGGGGGAGTCGTGCCAGCGTCGACCTTAGTGGTTGCCAGAGACCGAAGCGGTTTCGCAGCGATCCAAGTTGCTGGCGGACATTGGTGAAGTCGCGCGGATCAAAGCTGCTGCAACAACTTTAGAAGCCTCAATCGGATGCACGACTCGGAAAGAAGTCAGCATGTGCATGTGTATGTGTGGATGGCCCATAAAGATTATCCGCCGTTTTGCCGGGTTCATAACCGTGCTACCCTTGTGGTTTCTGGTGGGGATAGTTCTTCGTCGGTATCGCAGAAAGATTAGCCGTACAGTGATGTGCGGCGAACTTGCGAACAGTGCGTGTGTTAGTGCTAAATCTGTGTGTGACGATCGTTCTCGCTTTAGGTTTGACGGCAGCCTGCCAATACATGTACAAAACGATTTGAAGATAGAACAGGTGCTAATGGTATGCGGGACACGGTAACAATGCGCGCGGTAACAACCTGTGCTAAATGTTTTTATTTCTGTTAGTCGATTGTGCGTGATTGTTTAACACAGTGTTCTCGAAATTTTATTACGTGCGTACGACGCATATGAGACATGTACTATTAGTAGCCGTAGGATTCTGTATCTTCTAGGCGCTGGCAGTATTCTCTAAGCCTAGCCTGGGTGCAGGACAATCGGATTTCTTAATCTTAGTCCCAGTAATCGATATAATAACGTTTGCGGATCTGCTTTTGGTTGTCCGGATGCATAAGCCTATGGAAACAATATATATATATATATATATATATATATATATATATATACGTGTCAAGAACTTCTATACTCTCGATAGACCTTTCATTAATACGAATCAATCTAACTATTCAGGTCTGAGCAAACTTTCCAAGTGACAAGCAGCTTCATCCTGATGTTCCTGTGCATAGTCTAAAACGTCAAGAGTAACCGCCAACTATTGTTTCCAGCTGGCCTGCGTTTGCCTTGTGCACGTCTCTGTATTTCCATACTGCTGTGAAACAGCGAGTGCCTCAACGACGTCTTAATGACTCCGTTCCTATGCAGGTAAGCATCACTTGCGCTGTCTGGACAGTAGCAGTAGCAATCTCGAATAAGATAGGCCACCCAGCAAGTGAACCGTTGCGAATCTCCTCGATCTACAGCGATCCGCTACTACAGTTAGTGTAGAAGCAATCCGCGACGTGTTGTTGACCAGCGTGGCTAGACGATACGGCTGTGCTAGCCAGTCATCCGACTTACTAATGACCATCTAGACGACTGGCCTTTTTCTAACCATAGGGTTATCTGAAGTTATGCAAAAGCAAACACATTAGACAACAATAGGCGCAACAACCATAATAATAACAACAAGTGTTACAAATATAATAGAGGCAGCAAGAAAACAAGAGGACCGGCGACGACGACAACATGGTCGCCTCCACAGTCACCGTTTGCCCTATGCGAGCAGTGCATACGCCCCAACGAAGTACAAAACTGAGCCCTTGGCAACAGACGCGCCGCTGCGCAGTCGTATTGGCATGAGGCCGGTCAGCCATACCGCTACTCTGTTCTGTTCCGTTCCATCGGCTACCAACGTCAACAGGTGGAGCGGGGCCTGAAGCCAAGTCGAGGCAAGTAGCGGCACAAAAATAGCAGCGAAGGCAGCAGCGTTGCATCATGCATTTGAGGTTACGCTAGCAAGGCTTGTCTACTACTAGCAACGGTGGCGGATGTTGCTGTTGTTGTCGTTTGTTGCTTTTGCCTCTTGCTGCTGTTATTGTTGTTATCGTCATCTGTTACAGCCGATAGCCTGTGGTAGTGGTTTAGGTAAGACGAACTAAAAGCGAAAAAAGTGTCTAACGGCATTGATGTGGCTGGTATCCCATACCAGCGAATATATATGGGATGGCCAGTAATAGACGACACAACTAACGTAACTCCCCAACTGATGCTTCTCTTTGAGGGCTCGCATCTGTGTATGCGGTTCCGACTGCTTAGAACAACTTACTACTGTTACTATCACTACTGCAGCTACTCGACGAACGGTGCAGGTGCAGGACAGGCAGGAGACAGAGGCAAACAGGTAGACGGCCAGACGCTCTTGATCAGCCAGTTGAATAAGACCGGCGGTAGTCGTTGGTTTTTGTCAAGCGCAGACTTGCCGGGCAATATACTGCCAACATGCGCTACCAGCAGAGATCCGTTCAACAGAACGGTCGACAGCTACCAACTAATAGACAAAAGCGACGAGAGCAAGTAGAGCAGCGGTAAGCTATGTGAATAGTAAACGCAGGAGTCGGAATAGTACGGCGGGCATAGACTGTCGAACGACACTGGATTATGGGTCGCGGACCGCGCACTCAGACCATTTGCTTAGGTCCTCGAAGACGCCAACGACACTGGGTGGTAACGGGAGCATAGCAGTTCCACCGACGTTGATTATTACGGCGACCAGCGTCAATGCACGACATCGAAAAAGAGATTTCTACCGAAGCCGTTCGCTTCAATGGCAGTACCAGCAACAGGTTCAACAACGGCAATAGCGCCTGCCCGATTTGCCAGATATCTACCGGCTTCTTTTCAGCTAGTCGGGCCATACCGGTTACTGGTTTATTGCTGGAGCTTGCTGCTAGCAGCCAGGGTGATCGACTGAGAATAGGCCGAACCAGTGGGTGCTAACGCGTGTAGCTGTCGCTGATACCAGCATAAACTATACTACTACTGTTATACAAACGATATTATGACGATAACAAGGGCTAATGGCCATCTGCAGACGAGAGATGGACACGCAGACAGGCGGGCTTCGTAAACCGGTAAGAAAAACAGGTTTGTCTACTGCTACGACCATATAATTGTTAGATCTATACGATTATATTACGTTAATGCTATGGCCATGCCCTAGAAAATGTCGTTAGGCAGTTACTTAGGAGAAAAGTTACTTTTGACATAGATTTGCTTTGGAATTACCTGATATTACCTTTAAGATAAGCAATAAGATAAGCAATATGATAGAAACAACCGTTTTGTGACCTTGACATATTGCGCCGATAGTGAGCATCGCCAGGGGCCATGGTATAACATATTTGAATACTGAGTTTTATATATCTATATATCGTGTAGTATATGAGTCGGTAACTGGACAGAGGGCAAAGGAAAGGAAAGGAAGGGCATGACAGACAACCTATTGGAAAGTATTTTTTACAGTGCATCTCTACCTATAGATAATATTACATACTTGATATGATAATATTACAGTACTTTGCTAAACCCAGCTACGTCATAAACCACGTCATGTAACCGTAAACTGCCCTAATTCTAATATATGTCTGTTTTATATCGGACCTATTCTGTTTCCTTCTATAGGAAAAAAGGTATGGATGTTATGCGAACATACGCCACGGGAACACTTTAAGGTGTGACTTCCAGCTTCGGATAACAAATCCATGTGGCTCCCGTTCACTAACAACCATAATTCGACGACGGAAACACTCGTATTGTTCGATGATGTCGACGAAAGAATTACACTGAAGATCGACGCTCGTCAATAAATCACTCCCTCTATCAGTATCTACGTTTAGTATCATTTGAGGTCTGAGTTCCCTAGATTGGCAGTGTGGTTAGCTGGTTGTTGAGAGTCGTATCGTACAATCAGTAACTGCACTGCCTCTTAAAGGAGCTCCCGTCAACTAAATACGATTGAGACGAAAGTATAGGCGCGCACGGATGTCGATGCGTCAGAAAAAAAGCTCTGAGGTGATGATCGAATATTGATTCATAACTTATGTGAACTGAAGATTATAGTCATCGTAGTAGGTGTACCAGCGTTAAACGTAAGCTGTTATTGCCAACATTGTAGACGGACCTATACATGGAGAAAAATGCCACTATTTAATATTACCACGGCACTATGATTACGTACGCGTTTCTACTTTAGGCGTATAAGTCCAGTGTTCCGTATTTAACTGCACCTCTGTATTGAATTGTATGGTATGTAAATCGAAGTCTATCAAATCTAACAGGCCCATTATTCTATGCTCGCGTAGTGACACACTATTGGAACCCTTTATCGAACCAACCCCGTATTATCGTATGGATTCTCTACTAGTAAACTGTCATAAATTGGTAATGGCTGCACAAATAGGTACTATACGAAAAACGTGTGCGTGCTGTTTATCCACTGAACGAGATGATTCAGCACTTTGCCAAGAACCTCTATATGCTTTCACAATGGTAGGCGTATCTCAATAAATACGTACTCGACGAGCATATGTTCCAAATGATTAGGAAAATACCTGT